CAGGGGGCAGGTCGTACAGGTGGGCAGGTCGTACACTGGTCGTAATGTACAACCTAATGGTAGCGGCAAGGCAACCCGGGGGTCGTTGCCAGCAGGGCATTACGTCTGGCACCATCATCTTTCCCCTCCCCACTCCCCCCTCTTTCCCCTCCCCACTCCCCCCTCTTTCCCCTCAACCGCAGGCATGTGCGGAGTTCCTTATCCGGGAGCGCTACTGCTCCCCCGCCACCCTGACGATTCAGGGGGGCTCCAACGGGGGCTTGCTGGTGGCTGCCTGCGCCAATCAGCGACCCGACCTGTACGCGTGTGTGCTGGCGCAGGTAGGCAAAAGGGGAGGGGGAGGGGGGTTGGATTGGGGGGATAGGGATAGGTGCATGTGCGTGCGAGTGTGTGCATGTGTTTGCGAGTTCGTATATATGTATGTATGCATTTATGTATGCATTTATGTATGAACGGCGCGTGCGTTTGTGTGTACTCCCACTTCTCCACCCCGACACCCCTTCTCCAACCCCAACCCTACTCCCCCACTCCCCCAACCCCCCACTGTCCCCCCACTCCCCCACTCCTCCCCACCCCCCCACTCCCCCACCCGCAGGTCGGTGTGTTGGACATGCTCCGCTTCCACAAGTTCACGATCGGGCACGCCTGGATGACGGACTACGGCGATCCGGATAAGGCCTCCGATTTCGAGTACATCTTTCCGTACTCGCCGCTGCACAATGTACGGATACCGACTGGTGGCAGCCGACAGTACCCGGCCATGATCTTCGCAACAGGTGCGTGATGGTGTTGTGGGGGTGGTAATGGGGGTGGTGATGATGGCGGCTGGGACCTGGATTCGGGACCCGGATATCGAGAGGGGTTCGAGGGGAGGCATTGGGAGAGGGGGATGTGGAAATCAGAAGTCTGACAGGGTTTTGGAATGGGGATTTGTTTTGTTCGTTTACTCCTGGCGTCCTAATCCCAGCACCTTGCCTGATTGCTCTCCTTCCTCTCGTGGTGCCTATATTCCACCAATGCGTCCAACCCTCCGCCAACACACACACACACACACACACACTCCCCCAACAATGCGTCCAACCCTCCGCCAACACACACACACACACACACGCACACACACACACTCCCCCACCAATGCGTCCAACCCTGCGCCAACACACACACACACACTCCTGGCCCCCCCAGGCGATCATGACGACCGAGTGGTGCCCCTGCACTCGCTCAAGATGTTGGCCACTCTGCAGTACCAGCTGGCCGGGGAGGGGGCGGCGGAGGGAGCTGGCGAGGGGGGGGGGGGAGGGGTGGCGCAACGTAACCCGCTGCTGGCGCGAGTGGAGGTGAAGGCCGGACACGGGGCCGGCAAACCCACACAAAAGGTATGATGGCGTGTGGTGTGGTGTGGTGTGGTGTGGTGTGGTGTGGTGTGGTGTGGTGTGGTGTGGTGTGGTGTGGTGTGGTCTGCGGTTGGTCTTCAGTTGGTGATGGATTTGGTTTCTAGTTGGATTCTTATCAGATTGGAATAATAATTTTTCCGCTACGTTTCCTTTTCCTCCTTTTTCCTAGTACACTGCCCCCCGTGCTGCTTCCCCCTTCCCCCTTTCCCCCTTTCCCCCCCCTCCGGGGCGAACTCGCTCTCGCTCTTGGCCCCCCGCCGCCGCAGGTGATCGATGAAGTGGTGGACCTCTTCGGGTTCGCCGCCAAGTGCATGAACGCGAAATGGCAGGAGCAGCCTCAATGCGCCCAGAAGGCGGATAAGGAGGAGGAGGAGGCGGTGACGGCGACGGCGACCGCTGCTGCTGCCGCTACAGCGGCGGCCACGGCGGAGGCCTAGGCGCCTCTAAGGCACCTAGGTGTTGGGGTTGGGCTGGGCTGGTCGTGTGGCGGCTGCTTCGCTCGACTGATGTGCCGTGCCGTGTGGTTTTACGATAACTCTCGATGGAGGAGGAGATTGAGAGCTAGGAGGGGAGAGTGTTCGAGAAAGGTTGAGGGGGGGGAGGGCCGGGGTGTGGCAGTGACGGTTGTTTTACAGGTACGAGATCTTTCTTATAATATGAAACAGAGGTGATCTCGACGCGCAGCTCCTTCTTTAACGGAGGGCCCTCTTCAACGCCCTTGTTGCGCGAGGATGGGCGAGGTGGCCCTGCACGGCGGCCACAATAACCACCCACAGGCCCAGCTGAGACCAGTCCAGACTATTCAGCCGAGCGGGCACCGTAGGAAGGAAGGAAGGAAGGAAGGAAGGAAGGGAGGGAGGGAGGAGGGGACAGTGTTCGAGAATGGGGGGTCGAAAGGGGTAGAGGGAAGAGGGAAACACTGCAGCAGGAGCAGCAGGAGCAGGAGTGGTAGAGCTGTAAGCCAGCTGCGCTAGCAGCGATAGCAACAGCAGCAGTGGCAGCAGCAATAGCAGCAGCAATAGCGTCAGGTAGGAGGCCCAGGACTCGCCATTACGAGGCGCAGCAAGGCTGAAGAGTACGTACGTGTACCGCATATGTTGCGATCGGTCGTACGGTCCCCAGGACGCGTCTTTTTATCGGGTAATGACACGGCCCGCTGTTTTAGAAATGAACATGAAGGGTGAGGGGGCACTGTCTGTGGTATCGTATATTATGGCGAATATGCACCAGAACACACTTACATTTGTACCACTCGCAGCTGTCCGGCGGTGGTTCCAGAGGTGTTTTTGACTGGTGCTGGCGGTGGTAGTGGTAGTGGTAGGTGGTAGGTTGTCAAACCGGAGAAAGGTCCGGTCGTTGTACATCGAGAGGTGGAGGCGGGAAATGCGGAAGGAAATCGGAAGGTGGATACATCCGAGCGAGGGGATGGTGTAGGGTGGGGCGGTAAGTGGGGCGGTGACGGGGGGTAAGGTGAACCACGAGCGAGTGAAGCAGAAGCAGATACCAGAGATAGACGGATACTTCAGGTGACGCGCGACACTCAGCGCCACATTCAGCTTGCTTGCGGACGTGGATTGAGGGGACATTACTACGCAGTAGTAGCAAGAGTGCATACGTGTACATCTGTACGACGTGTACGATGATTTCGAGCGCTGTCCATAGTGTGATGACACTACCAACGACCACCTCTCTCTCCAGACATTGCGGCGACTTCTCCACCTTCCGTGTTCTAGTCAATACACAGTGCTGTACTGTCCCATCATGTGTTGTACTTTGCTGTGCAGCGCTGTAATTTATTTCCTTCGTCTATCTTTCCCCGTTTGGATGGCGTTGGGACGGCTGGGATGGGGTGACGTTATGGCGCCAGGGCGCGTGGGACTGGGGGGAGAGGACGTGCCTCCTCAATAGTGTGCTTGTTGGCGAAGATGCTCAAGCTTGTCCTAGGTGTTGTTCGTTATGCGTATAAATGAAGAAGTTAACGATGTCGTTACAGAGAATCTTACCAAACAGATCAACGATGTGTTCAAGTGGCCCAGAAGCCTCCCACTCTATAACAAATAGGTCACGAATAGCAGTGCGGATCGCATAACCCGAACATTGCTGTGCATTATTGGCTAATTAGGCCTCAAACAGCAGGTATCAGGGCTGAAACGTACGGATACCATGTCTCACAGACAGCACCAGGCCTGGTCCCGAGACATATCCCCCCACACCTGCCCATGCCCAGAAAAATTTCAAAGGGGCAAATTCCAAGCACAGCCTACAAGAAGGGGGCCCGACTACGTGTATATACAACCCTAGATGAGTTTGTCGATGTGTATGCACAACATAGAGATGCTTTTACGCCGGTACTTCGCGTACTGAAAGTTAGGTACGCTTGGCTGCGCCGTTTAAGGGTTCATAGCTTTTCGGTTAGCTGCTTTTCTGGCAACAATTCGGCGGCACATGTGATCGAACCCCCTGCACACAATGATCCTCGTGTGCGTTTCAATTTCGGGTTTCAATTTCCAAGCTGTAACAGGGCATATGCAGCCAATAATTTAAAATGTCACAGACGCCACTATGCGGCCTTTCATTGAAACACACACACGTGAAACGCAACCTTTCCCCCTTTCCGTGCATGAGAGGAGAGGAAAAGGAAACTAGGATGGTGGGTCTTACCTGCGAAGGAAAGGGTATATGTCAAGCCATGCGTCCAGTCACCAATAGATACGAGAAACTAGTTTAAAGATCCTGGCAAAAGTAGGCGGACGTCTGGCTTGACCGCCTGTATAGTTGTAGGAGCATCGTCTCCGTGTGTAGAGGCGAGTATGAGTGTTTGTTCCAACTCGCTGATCAAGTCGCCCTGACAGATCTAAACCCACCTAGGCGATAGTCTAGGGTCCAATCATCAAGTCCGGAAGCCGACGCCCTCTCGGGAAAAAAATCCGCCAAATATATCTCTAGTTTCGCATGATAACGGCAACGAATTACGGATTGATTTCCCGCGGAAAGGCGGAACTTTGCGGGGAATAGCAGAGCAGAGCATCAGCGCCAGAGCAGATACACTTCCCCCCTCAACACGCCACACACGCGGCAGCAGATGCAGCGGCAGAGCGAACTCCCTCCCTCTTTTGCCATCGCCATCACAACAAATAACACCACCGCTCCGCAGCGCACTTGAAACGTACGTCCATCAGGCGGCCAGCAGAGGTGTCCACAAGGTATATTAAGATGCAGGCTGGTCGCGACTCCCTGTAAATGTCACTCACGGACGCCATGTACTAAAAGTCCGCCCTGCCCGTGCTTCCAATTCATCCGGGGGAGTCCGGTGAACTGCACGTGCCATGTGCTTATAGCCACACGGCTGCAGAATGTCTACCTACCCCTACAAAGTAGAAACGCACGTGCATCGAGCGCGATTCGGCATTCAGTCTCCAACCCCGAACCTACCAGCCGGCGGCGGCGGGCACCACCTAGCTACGTACGTTCGCACCTCTCCCTTCCCTTCCCTTCCCCGCCCTTCCCCGCCCTTTCCCCCCCAGAAGGAGCAACTCCTCTTCCGGCAACCGGCATTCCTCTCCGGCCCAGAAGCAATGGTTCGTCACACCAATGGTCCGTCTAAAGGATCGCAATTGCTAACGTGCAGAAACAGCTGTTGACCACTTCCAACCTACCAGACAAGCACGTCGTCCCCAACTAGGTCTTCTAGCCGGTCTGAGCTGACCGGCACTGCACTGAGTCACATCCCGGAAGCGTTCCCGCTGCGCCACCCTGTCCCATCACCCCGCCCCGTCAACCCCCTCGCCCCCTCGCGTACATCTCACCTCTTCGTTCACAGGCGAATCACAACCTCACACACGACCTCCGGCCCTAATCCCATCACTCGCCTTCCGTCCTGTCTCCGCACAGCACGGGCCCTTCTTTTCATCGACGTGTTTGAGCCTCACCTCGCCTCGCCTCCTCGCTAACAGCTGTCATCATCCCCATCAGGCAACACAGGAAAGCCTCGCGGCCTATACCCAATGCCGTCACACAGCCCTGCCGGCCAGACGCGCCAGCAACTTGCAAGGTCTAACAATCGCTCTGCTTTGTTCCAAAATTTACGAGAAGCTGTCAGTCAATACCCCCCTTATCACCACAATCATCGCGGCCAGTCACAGCCACAGCAGCCGTTGCCGCCTGTGGCAGCCGCGATAGCCTTATCGCCACTTCGCCATTTCATCCAATCCTGTAGATCATATTCATTTATGAGGTCAAAAGCAGAGCAGAGGAAGGAACGGAAACGGAAAGAGGGAAGGGCCCGACAGGGGCTATCTCCGTGGCGCAACGGACAATGACATACTCCGCGCGAGCAGTGCCAGCTCGTGTGCTTCCTCTTCTCGCCACCGCCCCAGCAGAAACTCCCCCAGGGGGCCCAAGTCCGGCAGGGAACGGTTTTTTCCATGGCTGTGAGGGGCCGCCGCGGCGACAGCAGCAACAGCAGCCGCGGGCATGCTAATGCCATTCCCGCTGCTGCTGGCGCTGCCACGGCCGCTGCTGCTACCGCCACCGCCTCCTGCCGCCGCCGCCGCCGCAGTGCTTGCCAGGCCCGGCCCGGATGTACCGCCGATGCCAATAGCGCCGGCGGCCGAGGACGTCGCCAGTTGGGTTGCGTAGAGCCCAATGGCGGAGGCGCAGAGCGGCTGAAGCGCCGGGTCGCTGCTGCAAGAAAGTCGTACTAGGAGCTCCTGTACGAGCCGGTACGATGCGCCAGGCATCTGCACCGAACACATTACACAAAAGTCGCGGCACGCATGCAGGAAAGCACCTATACGTTTGACACACGATGACCTGGGGCAGGTAGGGTATACACTGCACGGTGTAGGAACTTGGTAGCCCGCTGTGATAACAACGACAACAATAACACCAACAACGAGGGAGACCCCATGTACCCATAGGGGTTCAAGGCCTTTGAATATTTCTACAACCCTACACGCCGAGTATGACCCCGCCCAAAACACACACACATGTACACGTACACACACGTACACACACGAAACACGTAACGTTAAGGGAAACGTTGTTATAAATGGAACGCTGTAAGGCAATTATATTCCTTTGTGACACACGTCACCTCGCGCCTTCTATCCTGCTAATTACGTCTTTTCCCAGGCTAATTAGATTCCCACCCGCCAAGCCTGTACTATAAAAATGGTGTGGAGGTAGTGCGCACAGGCCCTCACCGACCAGACGGACACCCACCATTTTCTCCAACTGGTTCAAGCTGCTGAGTACTCCCGCCACCAGGGCCTGGCTGGCCTTGTCCGCGCTGTTAAAGGAGGCTCGCAAACAAGGTGACAGCAGCCGAGCCAGCACTGCAGCACTATCGGCTGGACTGCCCTCCCGGGCCACAAGTCCCATCAACACACGGCTATCCACTAGTGTGCTCGCCGCGGCGGCAGCGGCGAGTGTGCTAGCGGCGGTGGCGCCAATGACGTCACCATCACCGCCGCTAGCTGCTGCGGCGGCGGCGGCGGCGCCGCCGCCGCCGGCGTTTCCCGCCAAGCCGTCCGCCGTGGTGGATGTGCCGCGCGGTGGGAGACCCCCCGCGGCTGCTGCTGTGGGCGCCCCCGAATGATTTCCGTCTACTAAAGGTGTCACCTGTGGAAGAGCAAGAGACCGGAGCAGATATTTGCCGTACGCATGCCGTACAAACCAAAATGCCATAGCGCACAAACCAAAAGCAACGGCGCGAAAAGCCGCATGGGTCATAAGAAACCTGTCTCGGCATCACACTGGAAGCCATAGACAAGCAACAAAAGACATCCTTCAAAGACCGACAAATAGCTAGGATTAGCTAGGAGGATAGCTAGGACAACATTAACTAACAGCGCCAGATGGATTTCCAAGTGTTGCAGAGGCATATCATCCAGCAGAGTCATGAGCAGGGCACGGAAAATGCCCTCATGAGAAAAAAATACCTTGTTGCATGACTTCCATAACACGAAACCACGGAGAAGCAAACCTGCCTCGTACCTGCTTGCGGGACTGCACGGTGCCGTAAACCCCCCCTCCTGACGAGCTGCCGATGACAGTGCTCGGCCCGCCAGCACCGCCGCTATGGGTCGCAATGCTAGAGCGTTGCGAGCCCGAGTTGTGGGAGGGAGAGCCGCTGCTGGCCCCGCCGCTCGCCGTGCCGCTGGCGCGTGACTGCATCGTGCCGTACTTGTCAGCATCGCCTGCCGTTCCGTCGACGCTGTGCTCCGCAGGCCGCCGGCGGCCGCTGCTGGCCTCCGAGGAATCGTCCGAGGTCGCGGAATACCTGTCAGGTAGGTAAGTAGGTAAGGTTAGGTAAGGTCAACATGGCCCGACATGCAGACGAACTTTATTTACGCAAGCAAACAAAGCAAACGACGTAATGTACAGTAAAAAGAACGACAGGCCGCGGACAGATAACCAGAGCAATTATTGCTTTTATTGGTATTGTTGTAACTCTAAATGTACATTCTCAAGATTTTAATCTCAATGTCCTTGCATTTGTTGCTTTTTTTGTTTCAGTTTGCAAATAAGTCATTGACGTGCAGCAAGCACACTCGAGATTTTTGAAGGCAGATTTGATAATAATGCGCATCTCCTCTCCTGCCGGCAGCTTCCCTGGAGTGAAACTGAACCCCCCTCCTCCTCCTCCTTGGCCTCTTAGACTCATCCGCCAGCTTCCCCATCGAAATGGGCCCCACGCCTATCATGAAAAGCAAGGTCTCATCTCGCTTAACTTCGCCCAACCCCTCCCTCTCCTCCATACATACATACATACCTGTGCACTGCATTCTTCGCTCCAGCAGACACGGTCGCCACCGCCGCCGCAGCAATCCCCGATGGCGGCGTGCCCGCCGGTAGCGGCGCGCCAAAGGACAAGCTGTTGCGCACCAACCCCTCTGTCGTGGTAGCAGTCCCTTCGCTGCCGCCGCCACCACCACTCCCAGTGGCACTGCCGCTACCACCGCCACTCCCAGTGGCGCTGCCGCTGCCGCCGCCAATAACCCCACTTCCGGCCCATGGGCTCCCTTTGGATATGAGATCACCGTACATGCGTCTCTCTGCCGAAGACATGGTCCGGAACTTCTCACTGAGGATCGGAGCGCTGCGCTGCGGCTGCTGCGGGGCCGGCTCCTGCTGCACTGGTTGCTGCTGCTGCTGCGGTAGCTGCGGTTGCGATAGCTGCTGCTGCGGTTGCTGCTGGGGTTGTTGCCCCGCTGTGGGCAGGGAGCTGTGCCTTTCTAACGCATGGGCTGCCCCACGCGTCTTGGCACTCGGCGACAACGCGCCACCAAGGCCAAGGGCACCGCCTACACCGCTACCACCACCAATCCCATCCGCTACACCGTTAGTTCGAGCTCCAGGGGAAGCCAGTGGCGATTTTACGGCTTCAACAGCAATGCCCTGCGGCGGTTGCTGTTGCTGCTGCTCGGCCTGTTGGGCCAGCTGGAGAAGGGAGCTCGATGACGTGTGGCCGCCAGGTGTCGACGGCGCCGTTGTCGCCGCCGCCGCCGCTGCCGTACCAGGTCCAGGAGAGGGGGGAGCGGTAACTGCGGGTGGAGCCGCCGCAGCAGCGATAACGGGCACGACGGCAGCAATAGCGCCGTTTGGAGACGCGAGCCCCTCCGTAAATGCCGTGCCGACGGCTTTGCGACTGGTGCTCTCCAGGCGCGGTGCTGCCGCCACCGTTGCTGCAGTCGCTAGCTGTTGCTGTTGTTGTTGCTGTTGCTGCTGTTGTTGCTGCTGTTGAAGCTTCAACGCCTCCCGCAGCGGGTCGCCGTTCCGAATGGTAGCACCGCTGCCGACCGCGGCCATTGCGGCCGCCACGGCTCGTACCGTGCCAGTGGGCACGGCGGCGGCTGCTGCCGCCGCCGCGGCCTTACGACCAATAGTCCCGAAGTCCCATGCCGGCATAGTGCCGCACGCAGCCATCGAGTCCTCCACGTCACGCCGCGAAGTCAAGGGTTTCTTATGCCGTACAAGCTCCTGAACCATGGCGGGCAGATGATCAGGCGGCTCTACGGCCCCCACGAGGAAGGGGTGAGACAACAGATCCTGTGGCGCAACACAGAAGCCGGATGAGAGCGACAGGAGCATAGGCCAACACATAGGTTACCTCCTGTGTGAACTCACAACGTATGTGAGGATTTGGTCAAGGAGCTTGTTGTAAATCCAAGCCTTGGGCGTCCCTTTTGTCGGCGTGCTATTATCAAAACCATTCCAGCCCTTGTCCATTCCTGTTGAGCTGCATGGCACAGGTCCACCGGTACCTCCAATGCCGTCCAACCCTGCCTGCCCCGTCGGTCTGACTCACCTTTGCCGCCGGCCGGGCGCCGGGATCTCTTTGCAAGCACTTCGTCACAAAATCCTTCATTTCGGGCGAAAAGTCGCCCTCAAGCTGGGGCGGCGGCCTAGTGGGGATGAGGAACAGCACCCGCATGGGGTGCAGAGCGGCGTGCGGCGGCGCGCCGGTGGCCATCTCTATGGTGGTAATACCCAGAGACCACACATCAGCCTTTTCGCTGTAGCCTTCCTCCGAGGTTTCAATGACCTGCATGCAGGTTTTGGGGGATAAAGACGAACCACAGGTGCGTGAAGCTGATACCAGGGATAGACGGTTTTGGGGGTCACAGAGCGAAAACCATGGACTAGGGTACGAGCCAGCAGCAGTGTTTTCCGCGTGATGGATGCAAGTAGAGGGAATGAGCAAAGGCCAGCGGGTGCGGGATTGGCTGGAGATTATTGGGCACTAGATGGGGGAATTACTTCTAATATCCCGCCGGCATGCGGCACACGGCAACGGTGACATCATGAAACGGCAGCAATGACGGCATGCACCGGCACTGAGAGCTCCTCGGCTTGCTTGTAACTGTCCCAAATGTATGCGACTCAAGCCGAGTCCGATCCACACGAATCCGGTTCCGATACCGAACACGATTCCCCCTCCTCAACATGACGGTCCTGTACCTGAAGTCATATTGAGCTCAACCTCAACGAAGCGACGAAAGGGCCCGCCGTCATCAGCCCTTGAGAGTATTGAGACTTTCGTCTGGTATGATGAAAACGCATGCCCGTCATCGCCACCTGCTGGAGCCCTGAACCTTACGCCCAAATAGGCTCCCCCCGATCCCGAAAAGCTCCCTTACCTCCGGCGCCATCCAAAAGGGTGTGCCCACAAAGGTCTTTCGCCGGTAACCCAAGGTCCCCGTCAGCTGACCCGATACGCCAAAATCGGTGATTTTCACCTCGGCGGTCCGAGACAATAGCAAGTTTGCGGCCTGGAGAGCGATGTGCCAAGAGCAAGAGATTGGGGTTGGGTAATGCTTTAGAAGATACAGCGTTCATATGCGTCAGATGGATGGACAGTGTTTTACGGACATGACAGCCCGACATCCAAATTGCTGACCGATGGGGACCTAGGGTTTCACAAAACCAACAGAATTGCAAACGAGAGAGCACCCCAAAGGTCAGAGCAAAGTCGCCTTTTACGTTGCAGAAACTCTCACACACAAACAGGCAGAGTGTTCATTTCCCGCTCCCCAACACTAAAGTAAAGACCAAGCAAAGCCCGGCGGATTATGACAGGGCCAAGCTAAGTCAAGCCCTCGCATGCGCGTCTGACACATACCTTTATGTCGCGGTGGATGCGGCGCTCCGAATGCAGATACACCAGGGCGTTAAGAACCTAAAGCAAAACGGGGCCAGCGGCGGGACGCAAATTACCGTGTGTCCACCTGAATACGCGATATCATTTCCATTCGCTCCGTTTTGCTTCAAGCCACGTTGTCCTAGCCCACCTAAGCCCAGTTACGTTGTAGCTTAGACTAAATAAGCTGCAAATGCCGCAGACTTTGCACGCCGCGACCTCTCCTAGGTCTGGTCTAGGGGCAAGTCCATTTGCGACTTGCGACATTGCGCCCAAGCCCAATGCACGTACGAACGGCTCCGACCAAGAGCTTAAAAGCTTGATATGCGCCATTTCCAGCTGTTGCATGCACGCCTGCATGCGTGCATGCGTGCGTGCAGGCTACATACTAAACGCTACGCCTGCACTTGCACGACTGACTCACACGCACCCTCACCTGAGACAGGATGTACGCAATACAAGGTTCGTCTAGAGGACCGTGCTGAACCTGGGGGAGCGGTGCCGATGGATAGGGGGGAAGGACATTCAGAGAAGGACAACCAGCACGAACCATAAGGACCACCGCGACGGCCCCTGGCTGCCGTGCCACCTGCCCACTGCGCCCTTGCAGTAAACTCTGTAAGCCAACGTCTCCCACGACTCATTAGGGGACGTGTAGCGGCGACGTGAATACGAAGGAAGTGGCGCTGTGGCTGGGGTGCGGGTGGTGTCCACATCGTAGTAGATATACCCGTGGCGCCCCATGATTTGGATTGGTAGATAGACAATCGCTAGGCGCCTAGAGTTTTTCCAAACGACCGCATCTGATTCGTCAGCGGTCCAATGATGCCCTTGGGCGAGGCTGCTGCTGCTGCCTTTCTGCCCGCGTTGGCTTCCCCTTGGAGACGACTTGGAGCGACACGGACATAAGGCTGAGTGCCTGGTCATGTCGGCCCTTATGTCCAAGACCCAGATGCTGGTTTTCCCCCTACGTTCCCACCCGCTATGCATCCCGGCCTGATCAGTAAGCAGCGAGCACTCGGTTCGACGCTTACCAGGTCAGAAACGGAGCATGCCATGAGCTCCATGATAATACACAGCTCCGCGGTTCCAGGCGGTGCCACAGAACCATAGTATTCTGTAATATTTTTGCATTTGCAGCCGGCAAGTGCTTGGATTTCCTGTGTGCGCAAGTGATGGAATTAAGGTTGGGTATGGCGGAGGTGTAATCACGGTGGGAAGGCGGCGCAGGTGTAACCAAAGTGCGGGACAAAGCTTAGGACGGCGTAACCCTTACTCAATCACCTCCTGCAGACCTACCTTGTGTATATCTTGTATATCATCTTCCCTGTTGAGTCAGGCATACCGATTAACGTGATTGTGTGAATCAAGACTAGCTGATGTCGATTTACATACCCTCGTACTCACACGTTCTCCAAATCAATTACTTTGATGGCCACCGGATTCCCCGTTTCCGTGTCGACGCTGCGTGCCAGAGAATGCCACAGGTCAGCGGCACGCCATTTGCGACCGGGCCTCAACTTTGCGCGATATGACATAGCCCATGCACAAACTTCTATACAAGGATCTTCCTGAAGCCGCAAAACCCTGGACTTACCCCTCATAAACGTCTCCAAAAGACCCGCGCCCAATGCAATGCCGTCGTTCATAACGTTCGGAAGCCATAGATCAATTACAATTCCGTGGCAAGGACAAGATCACAGCGTCCGATTGTAGAGCGTGGCTGTGCCTTGAGGAACAGGTAAAGCTGGAGCTTTATTGAGTTGTGGAACCCCGCACATAAGCGCCAACATCCCCCATGCTAAGGACTTCGGTAATACTCTCCCTGTCCAGGAGCAGTCGCTGCAAGAGTTATTACAACGCCTCCGGCCTCCCCCGGGGGAGCAGGGGCCTCTGCCTTTAAATCAGCTCCTGCTTGCACCGCCCACTATAAAAAACGCACATAACAGACAAGGGTTACGGGTGGAGTCTAGTTGGCGATAATAATGCAGCAGGTATGTGCGTGATGTCCAGTGCTTCTCCACAGCATGAATAACATGCATGAATAAGCTGCGAAACGTGTCACACTGTAAATGAGCTTGTATATGTCTATTTAAATCAGACGAATAAGTCACAAGAACGTTGCCTGATTGGCAGGGCAACAGGCTGACGTACACAATAAACGAGGTCAACTGAAGTCTTGAACTTAATTACATACTTACTCGTAGCAATACACTTTGTTTAGCTTGTAGCTCCATACTGTTAAACCAGTCTTCAGGTATCTCAAGACCTGTGGTGCTGCACTTTCTTATTTGACCATTCGATTTTGCTGCAGCAGACATACCAGGATATCTGACTGCAACTCGGATCTTTCTGCTTCGCTTTTACCATGCAGAACGTAGGTTGTCTATCAAGCAGAACGTTGCAGCGGCCCTGTCCCCAGCCACAGACAGCCTGGGGAACTGTTGGAACGAGGGTGCCCACACCAAATCGCTACCATCATACCTTCCGACTGAAACAATGCTACCTTCCGTCATCTTACCTTACATCGGACGTGATCTCGAGGGGGCTTCCCGCAATCGACGTAGATACCTCTGCAGTAGTTTCGGCGCTGAAAGTAAGCAGGCGCTTGGGAAGGGTGTGCGGACTACAGCACTGATTACAGAGGCACCCACTGCACTATCGCAAGCGCAAGCATGTACCATGGGGCAGTAAATCGTAATGTAACGGCTGAAGCAAGCTTATCCTGGCGTTGGGTGTTTGAAGGCAACGGAGGCATTTGGTTGCGGCCTAAAAACGTTTGCTGCAACTGTCTCATCCTCCTACCCTCAGGGCCCAACGCTCTTTGAGCTGCTTTCGTACGGCAAGACCGCGCTATCGATAGCAGGTACAGCCTGGCAGGCGGCCGTCGCACCTTTTGCTATCTTTGGCGTTGACCGCTGGGGTCTCAATTTTCTTTTCTACTTTGCCGTCTTGCTGATGACATTTAATCTCATCGTTCAAGCGCCGAAGCAGTAGGAAGCACGCAACCCTGCACACCACAGGCACCGCAACCACGCCCACCCAAGCAGACGACGGGGCAAGACCTGGGTCACGAGATCTCCCCGTGGACCACTACTAGAATGTAGTTGGGGCCGCGAAAAGCGGGAGTCAGGCGCCTCGCCTGGACATTCCTGGACAGTCAGGCGGCATCCCAGCCATGAGGCATCTGAGTCAGATACATCCCGGGGCATACAGCCGAGTTGACCTATGTTACACGTGGAGGACTGGGCCTTATGGAATTCCAACTGGGTCGGGTCGGGCCTACCCCGAACGAAGGTGGCAAATTTATGCCCAGCAGGCTTGACTTGCTGCCTTCATGTAGGCTCGCAATGACAAGCAGAAGACGAAACACTCCTTTCTGCTACGCTTTGAGTGTGTGCGCTACCAGATGACAGATTAGTACGCGGCTTCCAGAGCGCTCTCCTGGAGCTGACGCTACGCGTGGCAGGTGATTCATACTCGCTCTCCTCTGTAGCGACTGCCGGTGCTGCAATGGGGCTGCAGGTGACGGGTGGCAGGAGGAGGGTTGCTCTTTGAGTCTGTGCGCTGCAAGCGGCCTCGATGCAGAGGGGGTTGTGGTTTGGACTGCAGGTGGCTCGAGGTCCCCGGCCCGGAGCAGCTCCAATCGGGGGCTCGTGGGCAGCGACTTGCTTGTCTTTCATTACCTTCAAAGAAGCAAGATGACTGCGACAGCAAGTGCGGGTGGATGGTAATTACTCAGGTGCATGGGGACCGGTGGGAGCTGTGCAAACGGCTGCTGTGCACCGAGTATATACTTATGATGATGGTAGGGCTGGTAACCCTGCTGGCGGTAAAGCAGGGAGATGTTATGACTGATCGTAACGTTATCATCGGTGTCACTGGTCATTGCTTTGTATGCGTCGAGCTGTGGAGCTTTGTATCGCTTCGCAAAAGATTTAATAGCCTGTTAGGAAGAACTCGAGTGAAGGGTATACTTAATGGCTAAGTTACATCACGTGCGGTTGTGATTACGGTTGTAATTGTTTTAGCTGGTTGCAGTTGTGATCCTTTGGACCAGTATGACATGCTGCATCCACGAAGAACCCTAAGATGAAGAGAGGGGGCTGGATGGGCGCTCCTACCGATTCGCGTGGTGCTGTTGAGAGAGAGGAGGGACGTGGGGGTCGAGGCAGCCTGCCGATGACAGGCAATCGCGTGTTTCAGGATGTACAGTAAGGGCTGAAAACGCAGGACAAGCAGCCATGGCCGCGCACAAATCGCAATGGGGAGTGCATCACCGGCTTGAGCAAAAACGATTACTTGCTACCTGGTGCGGCAGGCCTTGTACTTCAGTGCATGTGCATCGCCCAAAAATGACATCTGCATGCTCCTGCTGATTATGTACGCACACTTTATCCGAAAGGTTCCTTGGGGGATAGCGAGCAGCACACCCTACTTGGCATTGTATGTAGAATACCAGAGGCAGCAGCGGGGCACTGACACGCTCGTTAGGTGTGATACAGAGGAGCAGGGCATGGCAATCCTACATACGACACCTGCTGGTGCAAAGACCTGCGGCCCCGTACCATCTTGACAATAATGCATGATAATGCGCATCGGCGCCGGTGTTCCATTCCATGCTAGCTGCTCAAGATGACTGGTCAGCCAGCAGCCTCTCACACTGAGTCCAGCCCTATGGAGCGGTGTTGCACTATATATTCTCATATGCTTGAGCTGTGTGTACATACTTGCAGAGTTTCCTTGATGCTGATGACAATGCCGCCGCCATCTGTCTCTTCCCCACATCACCCTACCTTCCACATGCCACACTTTCCGTGTGTGTGTGTATACAATACATGTCATATCAACCCCCTGCCTGCCAGCTCATTGCCAGTTCTGCCTGAATACACCGACCCGACGCTCCATAGATAGGATGCAGCGCACCCTCGCAACCCCTGGTGGCAATGTGAAGTGCTTGGCCACTTCCCGCAGGTCTACACGCTTCTGCGCGCACTGCATATTGTTGTAGTACCTTGCTGAACACATGCGAGATGGCAATAAACGGGGCTTAAGGGCAATAAACGCGCAGTACGTTAGGCAATCTAACATCCTTGCCAGGCTTGGCGAGCAACGTTTTACTAGGCCGTTTTCAGTTGCGCAAACAGAAGGTGACATCGTGCACATGTACGCCCGAGGCTTGGTGATGTCATGCACATGTAGGTTCACAGACCTCATCTCGGCTCCGCTCCGTTCGGTCCTTAGTTATTTATTGGGATTTGGGATGGCTTTGTCATTGCAACTGTAAGCTGTTGTTGTTACATGGTCGTGGGTGCGTTCCCCGTACCTGCAAACCACCCTAATACGAGCCGAGGGCTCAAGCTGTAAGTGTCATATCGTACATTTCCGGATGAAAATCCAGAGTACGACAATAGCACCCCCACAGCAGCACCTTCCAGTGGTGGTCCAAGAGTGTGCAATGGATAAAACAGAATAAAGTTTGATCCGTTGTGGCCGTGGTACTTGCACACTCTCTTTGCAAACATGGCTATCACTGCCATACTTCAGCTGCAATGTCCATCACCTCCTTAGCATAGCCGGTTTGACAGCTTCCAATGCCAGGCAGGCGAGGCGGACATCCGCGGCCTTGGCGGTGGCGGTAGCACTCAGTTACCTAGGATGCATGTATGCAAGGCCGGGAGAAGACGATGATACTGGTTTAGACCAACACCCGAGAGGTCGCCGATGTGTGCAACGTGTGGGGAGCCTCCATGGTGTGACCGGAGGCGCTTCAACTCATGCATGCAGTGCCTGGTTGCAAGGACTTGGGCGGATTGCTGGTTTACCACAGCGGCCGTCAGAAGCTGAGGAGAAGTGGCATTCAAACAGGCAGCTCGGCAGTGTATGGAGGCCTTGCATGGTGAGCAGCATGGGTGCCACCGTGTTCGCGGGCACCAGCAAGTGGGGACACTCCTCCGGCAGCTCGCGAAACGCTGCAGGGCCGCAGCCGCTTAGCAGCAACTTGAACTTGACGATTAGTGGCCCGCCGCAACGGCCAGGGGCGGGGCAGAGGGGCAGGGTTAGAAGGGCAGGGGTAGGGGGACAGGGCAGGAGCTTAGGTTAAGGCTCTGGTGAAAAGCCCTGGTTTGGGCATCTAATGGGGCGGAACAGCTCCCTTACGTTCAGGCTCCGACTTGCACCGTCTTGCTTCGTCAGTCATGTTTAGGGTGGGTGGAGGGAGGACCACGTTGCATGGTGGAAAACGCGCCGGCAAGCAGGCGGTGTGTGTATCCAGCAGCGTCAGTCAGCCACAGGTGTGGGGGCGTCGAACGCCGCGTATGGAATGCCAGGTATCACCAAATTTTTTATACATGTAAGCAGCAGTTTGAACGTAGCGATTACAAAATTGTTTGAAGGTAATTGAATGTTGCATTGTAGCACCAAAAGATGGCGGAAAGCAGAGCACGCGCGGACCAGAGAATGCGGTGGACCACCAGCAGCAGCCCTCCAGGCCCCGCCTCTTGCAGATCAGCGGTAAGGCGCTCCGGGTCGGCTAGCAGCAGTTGAGGCAGACGTCGTGGGTGATTTGGACCACTTCATGGCGGCTTTGATACCCGGCTGCACAGGAATGAAAGAGGAAAGGCAGCGTGTGGCTGCTGTTCCCACACTCGACAGCCTGCCATACAGGTTGACATGTCTGCCCCGTTGGGCCACCTTTAACCATCTAAAGGCGGCAGGAGCAAAGGCGGCAGGGGAGAAGGCGGCAGGCGAGGAGCGGCAGGGGATAGAGGCGGCAGGGGAGGAGGCGGCAGGGGAGAAGGGCTGCATGGAAGGAGCTGCAGGGAAGGGGGCGGCAGGGGAGGAGGCGGCAGGGGATAGAGGCGGCAAGAAGGAGCAGTACTCCACCTCTACCTTGAGGCGTTATTATATTAATGTAGTTGACTTACCACGCAAGTCAGGGCCCCTTAGCTCAGCTGGTTAGAGCGTGGTGCTAATAGATGTGGGCACGCCAAGGTCATCGGTTCGATCCCGATAGGGGCCACATAATGTATTGCTGCCTTCTCCCCGGCGTCGCTCCCTCATAGAGCATTCTTTCAGGTCAGTTTCGCCAGAACCATGAGGTTACAGGTTAAGGGGTCATGCACATAAGGCACCGCTCAGGCACATTCAGTTGTCGCAACTTCTTACACTGCATACCGAAGAGATAACCACCTACCAGCGAGGCCGAGTCGGCGGGAATCCTCAAGTTTGGGGAGGCTGTACGGCACTGGGCTGCAAGTGAAGGAACGGTGTCGTGTTTGGACTACAGGCTCATTTTTATGGATAGCTGCGCGGGCGGGGTGTGGCGGCTTTGGAGTGATGTATGAACTTGGCTAAGGCGTCAATATGAATTCGCAATACAGTTATCCCCTTTGGGCGCTAGTCTGGGCTCATGTGTGGTGTGGCTTTTAGGCGAATAGATGTTGCCCTTGGGCCTTCGGCTCATATGGGTAGTTTTACAGGTATGGGGCACGCACCCCCAACCATGTAACCCCCCCACACACACCCACACCCACACACACCCCCACCCACCCACCCACCCCCACCCACCCACCCACCCCCACCCACCCACCCACCCTCACACACACACACGAATCCATGAACGCGCGACCTCCATCCAATGAACACCACCTGAGCATCCATAGCCTGCTGGTAGTGCGCGAACCCAGTTCCCCATCGCCAGTCGGACATGTATGAGATGTGCTGTTCGTGAGACGGAGCAGAGCAGAAGGCAAGGAGGGCAGTCTTGCTGTGGTGCAGTTGGCATGGATGGGCTGCGGGAGCTGTTGCAGAGTGTGTGGCGGTGAGCTGAGTGGCTTGTATGTATGTCATTGCTGCTGAGGGTCGTGGTTGCGGTTGTGGTTGCGGTTGGTATGGGATTCACGATGGGGTGAGTCAAGGATGCGTTTTCAGGCCGGGGGGCGCCTGGCCAGCCAAAGCCACGGCCCGCGGGAAGCCAAAGATTTCCCCATCAGGCCAGACCAAGCAAACCTAAGCCATGCCAATCAAAAAAGAGGGTCGTGCGGGGGCCCCGCGGCCTCATCGATATCCTAGCTATGAAAAGCTCCTCTCTTTTCACTAAGGAAAGCTTTCCACTAACAAAATACTATCAGTAAAAAAATGTTTACGTAAAGGTAGTTCGGCTTTTTTACTCTAGTCGACCCCTTCGGGTCCTGGCCGGTGGCGCACCAGTCATTGGTGCCGCTGCTGCTGCCGCCGCCGCCGCCGCCGCCGGAGCTCGTCCCCCAAATTCGGTTCTTCTAATTCCCCACCGCCGCCGCTGCCGCCGCCAGGCTCTACCCCATTGCCGTACACCTCACCGCCGTACACGTTTACGTCCTCCGCACCCCCAACACCTTCCCTCAACTTCAACTCTCTCAACTTCAGTTCTCGATTCGTCCGTGTGGGTACGACAGCGGCACCGGCACCCGCGGGAGAATGCCAAATGCTGCTGCCGCTGCCGCTGCCGCCGCCGCCGTTGTCGTGTTCAGCAGCGGTCGCATCGCCGTCAAAACCCTCCTCCACACCAAACATGTCGTACGGATCTTCAACGTAACCAAACACGCTCCTGCCATCTTCGGAGTCGAATGCAATTCCCCCGTCGGCCTCCGCCTCGATGCTATCCATAACCTTCCTTCTGCTTCTACTTCTTCTTCCACCCTCGGACGACAGCTGCCTCTCAGCCGCGTACGACGGCGCCGCCTCCGCCGCCGCCTCCGCCGCCGCATACGCCGCCGCTGCACCGCCGAGCGCCGCGGCACGCGGCCAGGAGCCGTCGGTTGCGATGCTAGGTACGGCAGCGACCTCGACTGCTGCCGTACGGTTTTGCCGTGAAAAGCGAGCTCCCGGATGGCCCGTACCGGGGGCCGGCTTGCCTCGTGATGGCGGCGGGATCTGCGGCATGGATAGATCAATGTTGTACGAACTGCCGTACGTGATGATGCTCCAAAACAACCTTCAGCACCTTCAAAACACTATACACACATACATACACACATACAGACATACACACACTGGCGTGCAGCGGATACGGACCGCATGTATCCCTTACCCATATCGCGATGTCATCTCACGTCTTCTCTTTTAAGTGACATGAAAAAACTGATATAATTGATGCATAGTTATTACTATACATATTTTTATCACACACATACAGACAGACACACATACACACGTATCTTCATGTGCATATTCAGACATACATACATACATACATACATACATACATACATACATACATACATACATACATACATACAGCGACTGCAGCGGCTCTCGCGCTTCCCGCTATCAGCATTCGGTCGAGCCACAGCGGCATCGGTGTACGGAATGCAGACAGTCACCTGGCACATGGAGCATGGTGGGCCGCCCCCCAACCGTACGCTGGACGAAATAGAACGCCTAACGGCCCGCCTCGTCGACCGGCAGCAGGGCCCAGAAGACCCCGGCCGCCGCTTGACAGGGGTGCCTAAGGATCTCTTGACCGGCCACCCGTCGGCTGGAGGCTTTGGCCTGCTGCCCCTCCAGCAACACATCCAGGCTCGGCATGCGGTATGGGCTGTGCGCTTCATCATAGCGGCCCTCGGGCTATCTAACGCGTCATGTGGGCCAGGGACAGGTGGAGCTGCAGGAACCACGGGTGGTACCGGGGGGCACGGGAGGGCAGATGGCGGCCTCCATCCCTGGGTCCGGACGCTCTCCGCCTATATGCTGCTCACCCACCCCGCCTTCCAACCGTGGGCCCTGACGACCGCCAGCCAAGCCGGTCCCCGACTCGGCGGAAGCGACCTACCCACGGATATCAGCCGGATTGTGGGCGCCCTGGGACACCTACCACCGCTCCGGGATATCGAGACCAGCCCCCTGTCCCCCGGACCGTGGTGCTGGGCAACCGCGTTGTGGGGTAACCCGTTGCTCCCCAATACCGGCGAGACAGACCCAGACAGTTTGAACCGCCGCCCGGGCCTGGAGACGCACTTCGTGGGGATCGCTACATGCAGGAAACTGCAAACGGTGGGCGACCTAGTGCGGGTCTGGGACCTAGCGGTGCATACTCGAGTGGCCTCCCTCCCCAGGTCGACCTGGCCCGAATGGGTCAGGACACACCTCGACCCATCAACCCCAGCACCCACGCGGGACAGGTCAGCGACCCTGGCAGCCCTTAAGACGCTACATGGCGCTATCAACCCGGCCTGGCTCGAAGCTGCAAGAGCAGTGGAAACCCAACAGCAACAGCAACCGCAGCCGCAGGCACAGCTGCAGCCACAGCCGCAGTCACAGCCACAGCCGCAGCCACAGCCGCAGCCACAGCCGCAGCCACAGCCGCAGCTACAGCCGCAGCCTCAGCCGCAGCCACAGCCGCAGGTACAGCCACAACAGCTGCAAACACAACCACAGCTACAGACACAGCATCAGCCGCAGCCGCAACAGCCGCAGCAACAGCTACAGACGCAGCCGCATGAGCAGCAACCCCAACAGCAGCAGCCAGAGAGGCCAACGGCGGGGGATATGGCGGCTCCAAGCACCCCCAACAGCACTCAGGCGATGGCTATGATCCTAAAGCGGGTCGGATGGCAGATACCGGGCGGCACAACAACCGTCCCACTCACACGCCTGACGGTCCGCCTAGCGACACAGCTGCAATGCGGGGCCACCGAGGAGAAACGGGGACGCTTGATGGCAGCATTTGTGCAAGAAGCGTTGGACCCGCAGGGAACGGCACCTTCCTCCTCAGCGGAAACAAGCCGCTTCAGGGCGACGCAAGCCCGCTTGTGGTCGGGGGTGCGGTGGGAGAACGAGAACAAAGAAACGCTGTGGCGGCTCGCCGTGGACGGCATCCCCCTGCCCGGCAACACGCACCTGGCCCGCATGGTGCCGGAGCGCTGTGGGTGTGGAGGGTTCGGCAACGCCAGCAACCAGCACTGCTCCCCACGCATGCACCACTTCTGGGAGTGCCCCGTCGCACAAGCTGTCCGGGAGCAGATTGATCGACACGTACAGCCCTCCCAGGAGGCAGCGACAGGCGGCATCACCCGGAAGCAGCTGTGGTTGGTCCAAGCCCCGACCGGCTGCGAGCAGGCCCCCTGGGATGTGATCGCCCTGGCAGCCCTGTCTGCTATGGAGGTAGGCAGGTGCTGTCTGCGAGCAGCCGGAAGGCGACTGGAAAGGGCGGCTAACCCCGCGACAGAACAGCCAGAGCAAGCGCAACAGATCCAGGCGCAAGGGCCCCAACAGCGGCGGATAACGGACTTCTTTCACCTGGCCAACGGAGTGAGACCGCACGAGGGGCCGCCGCTGAACGCGCCGGTACTCGAGGATCAAACGCAGGGGCCCATCGCGGGACCGGGGACGGCAACAGCAGCAGCAACAGCAGCAGCAACAGCAGCAGCAACAGCAACAGCAGCAGCAACCCCCCTGGAATACGCCCGCGCTCGGGCAGTAGTGGACTTCTGGGCGCGCTTGCGCTCTTTCACCGCGCTCAATGTCCCAAGGCGGGGCTGGGACGGAGTGGGACCCCACCACCCGATCCTGTCAATCGTCGGGGGAGCACTGCGCTGCGCGGAGGCGGTGGACATCACGACCTAATGGTCAAGCG